CCTTTAAGAACAACGGCCCTTTAAGAACGAGCAATACCCACCCTGGGCATGACTCCCTGGGCCTCTGACCAGGCTGAGGGTCCTCACCTGAGCTTTTGCAGAATAAATTATATTGGTTTTATTAAACCCCATGGCCTGACTCTGGTATTTTCCTCCTTGCCACCTCTGACTCCACCACCATTCCCAAAGCAAACCTAACACCATTACTGAGAATATATCCAAAGAAATTTATCTCCATGAAATATCTGCATTCTCATGTTCATTGCAGCATTTCCTGTAATAGCCAAGATATGAAATCGACCTATATATCCATTCACAGAAATGTGGATAAAGAAAATGTGTGTGTGTGTGTGTGTGTGTGTGCATGTATACATCGCTGAACCTGGAGGACATCATGCTAAGTGAAATAATCCAGTCTGAGAAGGCCAAATACTGCATGGAGATCATGTGCATGTACATATGTGGAGTCTAAAATGGAGTCAAACTCAGAGAAAGTACAACAGTGGCTGCCAGGGTCTGAAGGAAGGGAGAAATGGCAAGATGATGATCAAATGGTATGAAGTTTCAGTTATGCATGATAAATTCTGGAGATTAACTGTACAACATAGGCCATATAATTAACAATACAATACTGTATACTTAAAAGTTGCTAAGAGGAGAAGGGCCTGCAGGTGGCGTGGTGGTTAAAGGCTGAACTCCCACATGGTCTACTGCAGTTAAGGCTGGCGGCTTGCTTTCTCACTTTCTATTTCTCCCTTCCCCTACCCCCAGTCAAATTAAAAAAAATAATAATAGATAAACTTATATAAAATAATTCTAAAAAATATTTTTTAATGTTACTAAGAGGATATATCTTAAGTTCTCTTATCCCCCAAAAAATGGGCTGGGAGGAGGAAACTTTCAAGGTAGTGGATAACTGGTTTCCTGAGTGTATACTTATCTTCAAACACAAGTTATATGTATGCATTTTATATCTACGGCTTTCTGTATATCAATCATACCTCAATAAAGTGATTAAAAATGAATTGTAGAATGGCTTAAAATTTTAACTATTCAGGCTACAGATGTCTCTCAATATGTGTCTATATAAAAACAACAGATTTCTTTCATGAGAAATTATAAATGCTTAAAGAGATCAAAACTCACTAAAGGTGAGATTTAATGAGTCATAACATAATTTTTCTGAATATAAAATTAATATTTATTATAGATATTTAGAAAATATATGTAGTGAAAATAAAAGTCATATATAATCCCAATATCAAAAGTTAGTCACTAATATTTTACTCCATTTTTTAACTGAAAGAATGATTTACTATTTACCTCATTATGACTCTAATATTTCTTTTTTTTTTTATGTTTTTTTTTTATGACTCTAATATTTCGTGAACAAAGTAGCCTATCTGTCATTATCCATTCAATCTTATAAATAAGAGAAAACTATAAAATAACAAAACTAATTTTTAAAAATAACAGAATTTATACATGAAAATTAGTATTCTTTAACTCTAGAAATGAAACAACCAAAAATATTTTTAGGAATGCTTTCTTGAGAATTGTCTTAGAATTCTGTTGAGGGAGAACGGGGAAAGAAAAGAAAAGAGAAAAAAAGAATTCTGTTGATAAACATACTACTAACCATCATAAGGACAATTCTATCATGGAGTCTAATACAACACTCTTACATTTTACCAAAATCTTATTGTTTGTTCTTGTGTTTCCCATTTTCATCCACAAGTCTTTCAAACCTCCATATTTACATACTAGGTGCAAATTATGTTGATCATTCTCAGAAACTATTAAGAATTTAGGAACTCTAACTCATGAAAAGTACCATAAGGTGTACTACAAAAAACAAATGTATATTTAATTTTATTTTATTATAAAATTATCTAAATCAAACTTTATCTTTTCACCAACCTTTAAATTTCAAAAAATAGATATGTATTATCACTAAAAAGAAATTGGCTTGGAAATGTAATAAAAATACAGCCTAAGAATAAAACAAATCTCTTAAAACTATTATTTAACTGAAAATTAAACATCTGGTAAAATATGTGCTAATTTCATAATGAATTATAAAATCTAAATACTGAGTTACTTCTAAACTACACAGCCTTAGCACCATATTACGTGGTAATGCCAACGCTCATTTTAAAAATTTTTCAATATATCTAGGTAGAGTTCTAAAGGTAGTTTTAAATTTTCTGTGAAACTTTAAAAGTTCCTTATGAAAGCAAGATAATAATGACAAAGAAAATGACTATGATAATGATGACGATTTATCTAGTTAATTTAGAAAGAGCTGCTAAATTAGTTCAGTATTCATCATATGATCTCCATAGTGAACAGTGGGGTGCATCTTTCTACACAATGGAAATCTGAAAAAGCATATAATTTTTCATACTCATCATGGTTGTGTCACTCCCTTACTTTCTACAATCACCTGAGAGTAACTAAAGAGGGCTGGCCCATGGCTTGGTAGTTAAGAGAACTGGATCCCACATGGCTGACCATGTAGTTCAAGTCCCAGACTCAAATGCTTGAAACACACTCTGGTCTTGAGCTGTCAATAGGTTCATGTACCTACTATTTGAACAGAATACTAACCTGTTTCCAGGCTTTAAGTTTTAAGCAAATTTCCTTACCAATTCAAAACTGCTTTTCTTGAAATTACCAGCCGAACTTGCTACTGAAAATAGTTAGATTATTTAAGAAATTGTGTGATCAATAAAATGTGGGAGGGAAGACAACTGTAGACACCAGAGATAGTGTGAGAAGAGGGTGGGAAAGGGCAGAAGGTCAGACTTAGGGGTAAATATGCATATATATATACACACACACACACACACGGGGTAAATATGTGTGTGTGTGTGTGTATATATATATATATATATATAAAACTAGAAAATTATTGATGATAAGATACATGATTAAGCCACTATGCAGTATACTCTGGATGGGAAACTACATTTTGTATGCTATGACAATGATTAGGGGATGAATGTAAATTAATTTTAAAAAAATGTTTCAGGAGGAAAAAAAATAAACTCTCAACAGTATTCCTAAGAACAAAATTTCTAGAAAACTGTTCATGATTAAAAAAAAAGAAGTCAGACAAATGGACTGGCTTGGTAGCACACTGGTAATGTGCTGCTCAAGTGAAGCTAGATCCATGCAGGAGAACATGGGTTCAGTTCCCTGTGGACCTGGATTAGGCGTGTGCACCCATGACCCTGGCTCACAGGAAGGTCTACGCCGGGAGCAGGGGTTGGAGAGGATCACAGTGTGGAGCCTACTGAAGGTGCTTGCCTTTCTTTCTGTCTCTCACTCTCATGAAATAAAAATATTTAAAAAAAGAAAGAAATGTGAAAAAAAAAAAAATCCCAAAAGGCGGGAGAAATAAGAGAAAGGATTGCAGTTACCATTTCCCTTAAGGAGTACTTTTTCTTTCTGTCTCTCTGGCCAGCACATATGCCCTCTGGCAGATTAAATAAGTAAATAAAAAAATAAAATAAAAATAAAAACCCTTACTCAGTAAGGAAACCCTAATTTAAGATGACTAAACCCAAAGTCCCTTTGGAAATGTTAATAGCATTATGTCCAAGTTTTATTTTGAGAATAGTCAGGTTAGAAAAATTTTAAAGTAACTTGTGTAATTAACAAAATGTATGGGCTAATAGTTTAACATCAGCAGTGAAAGTTAAAGGTTGAAAACAGAAGAAAAAGAAAAACAAGATTGTTCCTATAAATACTGTTTCCTGGGCTCTGTCTTATCTGTCTTTTTTCTACTTTTCCTTTAATGTGCAGTAGTGACCCTCTCATGGACCTTGTCCCCAAGAATCATGGTGCTTAGTTCATAGCAAGCTAAGTCAGTCTCACATGAGGTCATCATATGCAGACTCACTTTAATCAGGTTAGTCCACATTTAAAGAATTACATAGTCTCTGCCAGGGACCCAAGATTTTCTCTTCTCTTAAGTCTGCATACTCTTTCTCATGCTATTTGGGGGTTGTGACTCTTCTGGCCACTTTTACTCTGCAATCCGGGGATAAATTATTTCCTTTGGAAGAACAATTTCTCCCCTTGGTCCTGGTTGTTTAGGGTTCTTTGCACAGAATGATGCCTCCCTCCACCAAGTGGCTTAGTATCCCTCTGGTAAAGTGATAGGCACTTACTGTTAGATAGTTCCTCAGGCTCCAGCCCCATTTTCACTTCCACCCAACCAGAGAAAGCGGATTTTCTCCATCCCAAATTCCATCTGTCCCAGAGTATTTTCTCAGCCCTTTTATAGTACCACCTCCCCATTCTTACATGCAATTTTCCCCTAAAGAATTCTTCCTCTTTTCCTTTTTCTCTTTTTCTTTCCTAACAGTGCTACTTCTTGTACTATCAGCTCTCTAAAATCATGTTTGAAGTTCTTCTGAAAATGCTCAGCAGTCCACTGCCCTCCTTTCTTTAAGAAATAAAACAAAATAAAACTCACATTTTTATTCTTGCACCAAATCTATTGTCTCATCTGGTATTTCCTTTTATCCCCAATAAATTTTATTTGGGGATGTGAATTCAGTGGATATTTAACTTTATATAATACAGCCAAAAGTTACAAAAAGAGAATAGAATATTTCTATATTTTTTAATCTTATGTGTAAAAGAGGAGCTTACTGTCTATAGAAATTTTATGATGAACCTTTTCGCAGGATAAAGAATTGCTATTTAAATTTTATAACTCTTAAAGTTCATAAATCAGACACACATGAGGATAAGAGATACACTTAATAGCTTGGAGTTCAGCTTACTCTCAATCCTAAGCTTCAACAAGACTCAAACCTCCCTTTGTATTTCATTATTAAAGTTATGAGCCTATTTTCATGAAAAGAAGAATAACCAATTTCTTAAGTACCAAAACAAAAGAATAGATGACTCCATACAGTTTTCAAGAGCAGTGGGTTAACAAGAAAACTGACAATATAGCTTGTAAAAAGTATGCGTTAACTTACATAATCATGGAACGCTTTTGCTTCGCTTGAGTGTTCACATGTTTCCCGTCTCTCTGGAGCTGCACAGTAGAGATCCCAAAATACACTAAAAAGTAATTATGATAACATTAAGAAAATCATATAATGCCAATATGAGAAATCACAATTCCAATAGCGAAAGACATGTATTATTCTTCATACAAAATTTTTCTTATTTGGGACAAATATTTCTTTGAAAATTTTAAATTCAGGCAAGGCTCTTCATCCAATAAAAGGGTACCACCTTTCAGAAATGCTTAGTAAGATTTTTTTTCTAAAACCTAAAAGGCTAAAATAATTTAAAACAGTAGTTTAAAAAATTTCATTCTATCATTAGCTATTTATATCAAAACACCTGTTTAAAATCATTATAATACTTAGCATAGCATTCCCTTAAAGAACAGAAACAGTAAATAATACCCTATTTTATTATAATCACTAAGGAATAGAGTGGTTCATTAATTTTTTTAAGACAATTTTGTTGTACAACTTGTAGGTCAATACCCTCGTCATTAAATTATACTGGTCAAATATATATATTTTCCTAAAATGTCCTTGTTTTCCTCTGTATTTACCAAAATAAGTTAGTAATTTTGAAAATAAAATAGTGTGTTGGAAACCTTCTACCCCTTTACCCCCCTCTCATTCAATAACAATGGGAAGGTAAAATATGGACCAGTTGAGGGGAAAAAAGTACGCTTTTATAAAAGGTATGGCTCAGGATCAGCAGTTGCTGTAATGGCTGTGTCGCTGGATTCCATGTAGTCGACTGCGGTTTGAGTCTCTGACCCAGCGGCTTAAACTCATGCTAGGTACGTGTGTATGTGTGCCCAGGATCCCAAGAGGAGAATGGAGGAGAAGGGGCTGCGGCATAGCTGTCTGTCTCTCTGTCTCTCTCTGTCTTTCTGGTGAGCACACGTGCCATATAGCAAAAATCTCTTTAAAAAAAAAAAAAAGTATGGCTGTGGTCATCCTTCTACCTACAAAATTCATAATGAGCACAAGTAAGAGACTTAAAAAAATCAGAAAGCAAATGTGTGAAATTATTAGTTTTAAATAAAGGCAGTTACGATGATCAACAGAAGTATTTTTATTCCACATTTGCCCATCTGTACAAGAGGCAGGTAACAAGCTAAGCCAAGTAGTTAACAGAGGAGGACCTGTCCAAGGCAGAACCAGTCCTGCCAATAGTCCTTGAGCAAGTTTCTCAAACTTATGGGAAACAATTTTCTCCTTTACAAAATGAGGTTATTGAGACTCCATAACGTAATAAACACAATGTCTAACATACAGTAGGCCTACTATTAATAATATAATCAACACTAAAATGAGCTTTCATAAAAACTTAAAAATGTATATACCATGAGTTCTTTTTATGTTTAAAGAGAAATTTTTACTGTAGGGCCTGTATGCTTATCTCTATAGAGACAGACAAACAGAAAAAGAAAAATCGCTCGCCCCCAAAGGAAATGGCCACACCACAATCCCTTCTCCTTCCATCTCCTCCTGGGATTTTGGGCATGCACGTACACATACACAGCACGAATTTTAACCTACTGGGGACTCAAACAGTGTTCAATCACATGAGAGTCCAGCAATGTGACCATTATGCCATCTGCTGGTCTCCATATATTGTTATTTTTAAGGCATGTTACATGGTGAGGGCACAAGTAGCAATGGTAGAATAAAACCTGGAAAATTGAACCTGGACTCATCAAAGACTCATTTAATCTGGATCTCTCTCTGCCTTTCTCTTCAGCTAGGAGAAAATATTCTGTAGGACTTACAACACAATATAAGCTCACAATTAATTCAGTAAAATAAGATTGCCCTCAGAGGTGAAAAACATAAAAAGCCAAGTACCGGTATTATTTCTTTCAATGGCTTATTTATTATTTCCTTTCCTTTGTAAATAGAAAGAAAACCCAGTATTTTCTTTCCTATTAATTTTCTACATCATGAAAGACAGATAAGAAAAATAATAAAGATGAAAATAATTTAAATAAATTTTAATGTTTTTAGGAGAGTGAAAGCAGGTGAAGTTGTACTTGGCCTCCCTACTGCCCCACTGGGATTAGAAAGTATAAGACCTATAGATATGCCAGGATCTGCGGTGTTAGGAACTACAGCATATTGTGAATTACTCTTATTTTCATGTTCCGAAGGAGCGTCAAAGCTCTCAAAACCAAAATTTTGTATATAGTCTTTAGATTGTATTTAGTTTAATCATAGATTATATTTAATATTGAGTTGTCGGAAAAGTCAGGATGTATTTTTTTGGTTTTCTATTCAAAAAATGCATCATGACTTTTCTGACAACCCAACATGATGACAAACAGCTTAATATCTCTTCTTGTTTCTTAATTTCCCTAATTAAAAACAATACTTAAGTTGCTTTCATAATATTAATGCACATGTGTTTTCACATATTTCCAGATAAAAGCAACTATGAATAGAATTACAGAAGAAAATAGTACATATTAAGAAAATAATCTCACTGGTTCTAAATTTAAGCAATTTCATAAAAAGGACTACTGCTAATTTAAGGTGACAATAAAATATTTAACAATGTATCTTCAATGTGTTCAGTGGTATTATCAGATGAAGGCAAAATAATGAATAGAATAATTCTCATGACTTAATAAATTAATAAACAGAACAAAAATTATGACAACAGATTCATATCTCTTGTTTCCTAATTTCTCTAATTTCCTAGCACGTACCATAGAATTTTACTAAAATATATTTCAATATATTACATTTAAAGGTTGTCTTATACAATGGGCTGGGGGAAATAATTTATTATTGGAGTATTCCCTAAAAGTTATTAAATATTAAAAATTATTTATACATACATAATTAAATTAAATATTTATCTTAGGCTATTAACATTGTTCTATTTTAAAGTTTACCTTTTGGATTTAGTGTGAGATCACAAGTTTATATGATCAAGCTCAGAAATTCTAAAACAAGTAACTAAGGGTAATTTTATATGTAATATTTCTAAGAATCTTATGCTACTTACACATAATCCCCCTTTAATAAATGTAAAGAAATATATCCTTTGAAAACATTTACCCATGGTAAGCCATGGTCTAGGTCAATTTTATACCTCCTAAGACAAGAATGTATTCTTTTCTGAACATTCACAATTTATATCCCATCACTTCAAAGATCATAAACTATGTAGGCTACCAGAAAGATATTAAGTAATAAAAAATAAAAAATACTGATACAAATATGGTAAATCTTCAATTTTTAAAAAAGAGTTTCATAATTAAGTTTATAGTAACTTAAGATGTATGTTATAAAAATAAAGTAAAAAAATAATAAAAAATAAATATGGCTGTATTTATTTTGAATACTGTGATATTCATATTTTAACACATGCTCCCTTACTTTTAAAAGCATCTGTATGCGCTTGCCTCTAAGAATCACAGGTGAGAAAGATATCTCACTATTTTCTTTTTCTAGAAAGTTCAATCATGTTTTACACTAGTAATATAAGCCACAGAGGACTGTGACTGCTACAATACTAACCTAATATTTTGGAATGATAGACCATATCATAACAGCGGCAGTAAAAAACTGTAGTTAGACCAAAATGCATACCTTATTCCACATTCTGCAATTATTCTGTGTTTGGCTATGTGGGCTAGGTGATAAATAACTTTTATAGCCTTCTTTTGTAACACAGAAAGAAATGACATTAAAACCAAAAGACTTCTAGGAATGCTTTATGAATTTTTTAAAATTAAAAATTATTATATTTATTCTAGCAATATTCCAAATATACACTATACAATATGCTATTGCCATATACTGCCCAAGGAAACAAAGGTATATAATGAATGGTACATAGTATCCAAAACTAGTGAAGAGTTGAACTGAAAACGGCTCAATTGCCCAGGACACCTAAATATAGTAGTTAGATCTCAAATCTTATTAACATTTCACAAATACGCTTCACAGATGCTTCTGGCTGATACTATGACAATGTTACAGTCATCATATGAAAATGTGAACTTGACTCCTAGATGAAGAATTAGGCTTTTTAGCAGATCAGGTTCATAGTGATATTTGATTTATCCTTGGAGGGATTTTACTAATGTACTTTAATATTCACTACACTTGTTTCTTGAATCCCACAGGGGCCAAGGGCAGACAATTCTAGACCACCAGAAACACAAACAACAACCTGAGATACTAGTGACTAAAAAGTTTTTTGCCATAAGCTGTGCATGCTTAAAGACAAAGAGTGAGTGAGAAATCACCCAATCACCCCTAGGGAGGATGGCCTCGCCATGATCCCTTCTCCTTCATTCTCCTCCTGGGACTGGTGACACGGGCAACCAGTGTGATTTTTAAGCTGCCAGGTCAGCCACGTGGGAGTCCAGTGTCTTAACCACCATGCTACCTGACGGCCCCATTAAGAAGCTTCTGAATTCCTCTAGTCCATAAATCTATTTAAAATATGTACTTGACAAAAGAAAACTGAAACTAAGCATAGAGATAATTAACTAAGAAATATTAAAATCTTTGGTCTCGGGACCAGCAGATGGCATAATGGTTACCTCATTGGACTCCCACATAGTCAACTGGTTTGAGTCCTGGACCCAGTGGGTTAAAACTCATGCTGGGGGGGGGGCGCAGGGGGCGTGGTGGTTAAGGTGCTGGACTCCCAAATGGCCAACTACGGTTCAAGTCCTGGACCTGGTGGCTTGCTTTCTCACGTTCTCTCTCTTTTTTTTTAAAAAAAAAAAAAGGAAAAAAAAAAAAAAAACACATTAAAGGAAAAAAAAAAAAAGGAAAAAAAAAAAAAAGAAACATTAAGGAAAAAAAAAAAAAAAAAACTCATGCTGGGAACATGTGTGTATGTGTGTGCCCCCAAGATCCCAAGAGGAAAGTGGAAATGGGGATGCAGCATGGCTATCCCCCCTGGGGGGGGTGATTTCTCACTTTCTGTCTCTCTGTCTGGCCAGTGAGCATATGCACACTATAGAAAAAAAAAAAAAAAAACTCTCTAAAATAAAAACAAACAAAAACTTTGGTCTCAAATAACTTATT